GTTGTACTGTCCCTCAGCGATCACACCTCCCTCTCTCTCATTTTCTATCTGTGCTAACCCAGCTCACATCTGATACTCATCTCCGCCACTAAGGGTTCTATTGTCCCCTTGATATGTACATGTAACTCCCACTGCTGTCAATAGGAATTACATGTGCTCATCAAGGAGAGAAAAATCCCTTGTGTACTCTGCTCCTCATTATCTTGGCACAGTCAGTTCCATAGATGTCTCATCTAGGAGCCTTTTATTCTCTCGAGTGTTGTGCAGTATAGCAAGTTGGCTCGTAGGATCAGCAGTTTTGCTCTTGAGGTGTTTAGCAAGTTGATTTACTGTGCATGTGTACACCCTTAAATGTCTTCATCCAGCCAAATCCATGTCTTGTGTTAGATGGTAGAGCTTCCTATTTCCTTTCTGTGCAATTCATAACTAGTCTCCCAGCAGACTCAAAGTGAAGCGAGAGTCTGAATCTAACCCCCAAATAACATGTTCAGACACAGCTCAGACCTCTACTTAAATGCAATAGTTTGTTGAAAATTCAATAGGTACAAAAATGTAAATGACATATTTTAATTTTAAACAAAGAAGTAGATGAAATAATAGCAAAGCAGTTAGCAAAATTCAAATTCCTTCCAGAATTAATTGGAGTGTCAAGAGTTGAAGGAAAATGATAGCATGAAAACAACTGCATGGAGGTGATTTCCACTGTTTGAAAGCTGGGTTTGTATTCTCCTCCAATCCTGGAAACACCTCAGCTTGGGAAGGTACCCAGTGTCTCACACAGCCCAGTGTTATTAGAAACAGAGCTAGAAAGCATACTCACTCCATTTCCAGATTTGTTCCCCAAGTACAGAGTCAATTACCACATCTTAGAAAGAGGGATGGCAAACTAGTTTGGGAAAAAAATCAATTTGCCATCAGATTAGAAATCAACTGTAAACATGCTGAAGAATTCTATTTTTTTTTCACTACTGCTCTGCCTTTTCTTCACAATCTGTTCTGGTGTCAGACATATTTTGACAATACTTGTAGAACTTGTCATATTAACAAAGTTATCAAACAGAGCAAGCACATGCATAGCAACAGCTGTAGTCCAGCAAGAGTCAAAATAGCTGGCCATAAGTATTCACAAGGAAATATCCTCACTGCAGTTGCACAAATCCAAAGTATCCCCAGAAGTCTCCAGAGTTCTTGTAGTTTTATTTAAATAGCAACAACCACAGCTGCTCTTTGACATGGAACAATCTACTCCAAACTTTGGAATGTAGGATAAAAATAAAAGGAACAATTTTAGATTTTATAGATATATGTAAGGATTTATTTTTTGCTATTATATTGTCACTTGATTATTTCTGCTTTTGTGAAAGTGCTTAATAAAAAAGGGCATACAGAATATTTAATACAATTATGGGATTTATTTGATGTTATATAACATACTCAGAAATACTTGTTTAAAAACAACATAAGCCCCATAATCCACTAAGACTGTAAATTGGTGGGGTAGGAACAATCTTTTCATTATTTGTGTCTACAGAGCTTAATACAAAGAAGGTCTCAGTTCTTTGCTAACATCTCTAGGTGTTAATGCTATTAAATTTACTCAATAGCAAGAGATGCAGTGAGTGGATTTATGTGTCTCATTCCTTTGGAAATGTGTGAATCTAACAAAATAGTTTAATGGCCAGATTTTTCAGCTGCAATGTCTGATTTTGCATGTACATCAGATAGTATGCATCTATTTATGCAAATCGATGTTGGATTTATATGCACAAAATAGACATGCCTGAGAACTCCTGTTTGTGGAGTTCAGCTGCATTCAGCAAGGGAAAAGATCATGTTTGGATGCCAGGGTCAAGCTGGAGGAAAACAGCAGGAGCCGCACTTAGCACTCAAAACTCCTGCTTTCCATTTTCAGTTTTCTGGGAAAACTAAACTGACTTTAGTTTTGCTTTCTGGTCCCTCTTTGACCTGCCTTTATTTTTACAACAGAAAGCCTCTAGTTTAGGGGAATTAGATTTTTCTGCTACTGATGTGGATGCAGACTAGGCCTGACGTGTGTGTTTTCCTCTAAGAACCGAAGGGCCCTGCTCAGGCTCACGTCCACAGTGGAGAAGCTCTACCCGTTTTTCTACCCCAACCTGCCTTCTCCCAAATTGTTTTCTTCTCAGACACGCACTGGTTGCACCTTCCCCTCTCCCTGCCCAAGGCTGAACTGGGGTGCTCTCTGGCCTGCAGCCCCATCCCCTGCCCACAGCCCACCCAGACGCACCCACCGCCGCCCTGACATGCCCGGGCCCTGCTGCCAGCGCAGCTGCCTGCGCCCGCCAGGCCTTTCCAGGCCGTCAGCTCCCTGCGCCCGCCAGGCCTTTCCCTCCCACACAACGAGATGTTCACTGAGGGAGCAGGTCCCTGCCATGGCAGGGCTGCTGTTTCCTCTGCTGTCATTTTCTTCTCTCTCTGGGTATGCTAGTTTTTCCTCTCTGAGTGTATTAGTTTTTAGGTTTTCCTGTGGATATATGACCCCCTCACATGTTACCTTTCCCTCACAGCCAGGGCTAAGCTTTTCCTCATCACCCTCTGGAAGTATTAGCTTTTCCTGTGGATGTGCTAGTTTTTCCTGACAGGAATATGCTTGTTTTTCACGTGAACATGTTAGGTTTGTCCCCACTGGGTACATCTTTCCACTGGGTATATTAGTTTTTCCCAGATATGCTACTTTTTCCTCAGTGGGAGTGTCCCTTCCCAGGATATGCTGTTTTATTTCCCTGGATATCTTCTTTCTTTTTTCTTTGGATATGTAAGTGAGACGTGGTGACGACAAGGTTGAGTGTTAATGGGTGAGAGTCAAGAGGATGGTCAACAAATAAGGCAGATATGGTGGGAATCTGTTAGAGATAATCCAGCCAGGACTAGCCCCTCAGTATGTGAAGGACATTGATGTGCTGGAGTGTGTCCAGGGAAGTGCAATGAAGCTGGTGAAGGGTCTAGAGCACAAATCTTTGGAGGAACAGCTGAGGGAACTGGGCTTGTTTAGTCTGTATCAAGAGGTTTGAGGTGCTTTATTGCACTTTACAACTCCTGGAAAGGAGGTTGTACCAAGGGGGGTGTTGATCTCTTCTCCCAAGTAACAGGTGATATGAAAAAAAACCCAAAACAAACCAGAGGAAATGGCCTCAAGTTGTGCTAGGGGAGGTTTAGATTCCATAGTAGGAAAATTTTCTTCACAGAAGGGGTTGTCAGGCCCTCGCACAGGCTGTCCAGGGAAGTGGTTGAATCACCATCCCTGGAGGCATTTAAAAGATGTGTGGATGTGGTGCTGAAGGATGTCATTTAGTGGCAGCGCGTGGCACATAGTTGGGACTTGTTTATCTTAAAGGCCTTTTCCAACCAAAACGATTCTGTGAATCTAAGTTTCTCTGGACCGGCGAGCTCCGGCTCCCGGGGGTTCGCTGCGCGGCCGCGCAACCCCGCACCCCTCCGCTCCCCGCGGAGCTCCGCAAGGCGCCGGGACGGGCGGCGGGGCGGTGCCTGTTCCTTTAAGGCGGTGCCTGTTCCTTTAAGGCGGTGCCTGTCCCTTTAAGGCGGCGCGTGCCCGCGCGCCGCGGGGCTGGTG